CACCTGTAAGCATTTAGGAGGCCAAGGTGGGTGGATCACTTAAGGTGAGGAGTTTGAGACCAGCCTGGCAAACATGGTGAAACCTTGTCTCTACTAAAAATACAAAAATTAGCTGGGTGTGGTGGCATGTGCCTGTAATCCCAGCTACTAGGGAGGCTGAGGCAGGAAAATTGCTTGAACCCAGGAGTTGGAGCTTGCTGTGAGCCAAGATTGGGCCACTGCACTCCAGCCTGGGTGACAGAGCTAGACCCAATCTCAAAAAACAAAACAAAACAAAACAAAAACAAAAAAAGAAAGAAAAAAAAAAAAAAACCAAAACAAATAAACAAAAAAACCCCAAATACCTGGCCTCCTGAAAACCTCTTCAGAGAGAATGAAAGCCACAGAGGTTTTCTAGGACTCATGTTTATCCAGGGCGTGCCCTCAAGCTCAGACTTAATAAATCTCAATTGATTCAGACCCTTGCCTCAGTCCCTCATTATGAGTAACCACCGTGAGCCCTGCACTAATCCACTCCCTGCCCAGGTGATATGTACCTAGGTGAGTCAGGTCCCATGAGTCCAACACTCCTCTTGCCTTCAGCTCCTCCACCCGACCGCTCAGTGCTGTGTGCTGTGGTCTGGCCCCAGCTCCCAGGCCATTAGTACTCACCTAAGAAAGCAAGGCCAGGAGGAACAGGCCAAGAAGGCATGGAAAGAGGCAGGTGGGGCTGTCATTGCTCAGAGGCCATACACTCTGGGTGTGTTTTATGACTGCCTCTGGGTTTGGAATCTTCTCCCCTTTGTGACTATTCCAGGGACTCACCCTCCTGCTTCCGTCTCAATATGCTTTCTGTCTCTAGTGTACCTCATTTGTGGCCAGGAAATGGCTGTGCAAATAGTTGACAGTCGAGTAAAAGAGACTTTTTATGTGACTGGGAACCTGGCCCTGTTTTCTTCCAAAAGAGACTGAAGTTCGTAAACGCCAGCTTTTATTCAGGGCTGTGCAGTTGTGAGTGTGGTGTTAGGGAATAGCTGCGTAAGTGAAGGGTGAGACAAAATGCTGGCTATTTGTCAAATCCTGAGAGTAGAGAGCACAAAAATCATTCTGGAAGGTGGATGTCATTCAGGAGACATTGGACATCTTAAGGTACCCTCTGCGCAGATGGGTGGGGGATGAGGTTAAATGATTGAGTTGGGTGACAATGGGTACACTACTTCACTTCTTTGCCTCAGTTTTTTTTTTTTTTTTTTTTTTTTTTTTGAGACAGGGTGTCGCTCTGTCTCCCAGGCTGGAATGCAGTGGTGCAATCTTGGCTCACTGCAACCTCTACCTCCTTAGCAATTCTCTGCCTCAGCCTCCCGCCTGGCTAATTTTTTTTTTGGATTTTTAGTAGAAACGGGGTTTCGTGCTCGCTTCGGCAGCACATATACTAAAATTGGAAACGGGGTTTCATCATGTTGGTCAAGATGATCTTGATCTCTCGACCTTGTGATCCGCCTGCCTCGCCTCCCAAAGTGCTGGGATTATAGGTGTGAGCCACCATGCTCAGCCCACTCAGGATTTTTTTGAGGACTGGAGATACCCAGAAAACTCTTAGGATAATGCCTGGTGGGTAGTGAGTGCTGCATCAGTGTGAGCTATTATAATTACGGGAATAGGCAAAGGTGCCACGCTAACCATCCAGGTGGGAGGTATTTTCCAGCCAGAGTCCTGGCAGGCCAGCTGGATATGAAGATGGTTAAGGAGGAAGCTTAACTTCCAGGAGTGGAAGGACTGGGAGGAGTATCTCATGCACAACATTCTGTGAAAATACCTTTATCCAACAGCAGGAATACACGGGGTGAATGTGACTTCTGTGGTAAGTATTGTCTCCTGGTGGGAGCGGGGAGCATCTAAGACTGTGTTGTAGGCTCAAATAATTTTTCTAAAAGCCAAGCCTGAAAACAGGTTTCAGGGGTGCCTTGCAAATTAGCATACCTTTTGCCAAAAACAACAACAACAACACATCGATCTTTCTAATGGAAAGCATTTGTTTTGCCAAAGAAAATCCCTCTTGTGGCTTAAAACATTACTTTCATCTCTGTGCTATCCTACTTTATAAAGAGAAAGACTAAAGAAGAGTGAATGAGGAATTGCACAGATAAGTTAACAGGACAGAATTGGGACGGGTATGTGTAAGTTAAGGGGACATATGTCTACTTTTTTTTTTTTTTTTTGAGACGGAGTTTTGCTCTTTTGCTCTTTGTTGCCCAGGCTGGAGTTCAGTGGTGTGATCTTGGATCACTGCAACTTCCACTTCCCGGGTTCAAGTGATTCTCCTGCCTCAGCCTCCTGAGTAGCTGGGATTACAGGTGCCTGTCACCATGCCTGGCTAGTTTTTGTATTTTTAGTAGAGAAGGGGTTTCACCATGTTGGCCAGGCTGGTCTTGAACTCCTGACCTCAGGTGATCCACCCACCTTGACCTCCCAAAGTGCTGGGATTACAGGCATGAGCCACTGTGCCTGGCTGTATGTATACCTTTTATGTGAACATAAAAAGGACCTCTTGTTTTAAACAGATCTCTTCTTATAAATAATTTGGGCTTGAGTGGGTAGTAGACTCCATCACAAGAACATTCCAGCAGAATCATGAGAGAATGGATAGTTGGCTTCTTTGCTAACTGCTACAGTAGACTGCCTAAGTTGCTGAAGAGAAAGAAGTCGAAGGAGCAGATGGGTGAGGGTGAAAGGAAAAGGGAATGTTTATGAAGGGCTCATCCGGTGCCAGTCTGTTTCTAAGGCCTTACACATCATAAGTTTCTCTTTCACTGTCATTTTCTGATGCAGTCAGAGTCATCCTTGTGCTGCAGATGAGAAAAGCCTGTCGGAGGTGAAGTGAGTGGTCCAGGGTCATCCAGCCAGTTCATCGCAGAGCTCATGTGTTTCACCTCAAAGTTTGTGCTCTTGTCTGTGATTCAGACAGGAAAGTGAGACACAGAAGGAAGGCAAAGCAAATTTTTGTTGTGGGTGCCTAATACAGGTACCTTTTGTCAACTTCACCCACAACAAAAAATTGCTTTGCCTACCTTCTGGAATTACAAACGTGAGCCACTGCACTCGGCCTGCGTGAGGGTTTTCCCCACCTCCAGCTTACAGAGCTTCAGGAACAGAGCAGACCTTGTTCTTAGTGATTCCATGGGATAGAATGGGATTGGAGGACTTTGGAAACAGATGCTTGGTGCTGCTGAGAAAAATCAGCACTGAGACAAAGGTTCTCTGAGCAAGGCAATCTTTACTTTCTGTAGGAAAGGTGTTCCCATTAGCCATCTTGCCGGGAGAGTACAATGAACAAAGGAAAGGCAGACATATTTACCCTTTACATATTTGGGGTCATCTTTACTGCTGTGTCTGATCTCCGTTGGTGGGAGCCAGACCTCACATTCTAAACCAAACTCGATTAGCTAACAACTTAAAACTTTTCTAAACAGGCAAAAGCAATGGAGAACAGAAAGGAAGTCTAAATAAGGAAGGGGCATAGGCTGTGAGCTGGGACATGCCTGTGAGCACGTCCAGCGCAGGTATCTCGGTTAAAGCCCAAGGACATAGAATGTACTGTGTGCCTGTGAGCATGCCTAACAGCTGCGTACGACGGGCTTAACAAAGAGTTACCAGCAAAAAGTAAAAAGGCTTTGAAGAAAGTGTTTAAAACAAACTATTATTTCTAACACTTATGATTCGTTCTTTAACAAGGAAGGAAACTTTGAAGAGAAACTTTTCTTTTTTTTTTTTTGAGACAGAGTTTCGCTCTTGTTACCCAGGCTGGAGTGCAATGGCGCGATCTCGGCTCACCGCAACCTCCGCCTCCTGGGTTCAGGCAATTCTCCTGCCTCAGCCTCCTGAGTAGCTGGGACTACAGGCACGCGCCACCATGCCCAGCTAATTTTATTTGTATTTTCAGCAGAGACGGGGTTTCACCATGTTGACCAGGATGGTCTCGATCTCTTGACCTCGCGATCCACCCACCTCGGCCTCCCAAAGTGCTGGGATTATAGGCGTGAGCCACCGTGCCCAGCCGAAGAGAAACTTTTCTATTTCCCACAGAGGAGCTAGAATAATTCAGGGTCCAGTCCAGTCTACAGGTGAATAACGAAAACTAAAAAGCAACAAGCAGAGCTGTGATGTCATAACAGGTGCACTAGAGTTATTTTCAGCATAATTTTTCTCTCCACAGGCATCTCTGTTTCTACCAAAGATAATCCCGGTGAGACATATTTGTTTTCTGAATAAGTTTGGTCTCACCAAACTTGGCCTTGTTCTTATTTAAGTGCAGCGAGAGTAGCAGTTGACCACATAGAGTCTTTTTAAGTTTGCTTTTCTGGAATTTTTTATAAGGAATCTCAGATTAAACTTTTAGAAACCTCTCAACATGAGAAAGCCGAGCCAAGGCCGACTTCAGAATTTGCTTCAGTGCCTATGGGTTCATCTATGCATATTCTCAAATATAACATCCCAGTCAAAGCCTGGGTAATATAACCAATATTTCAAATGTATCCTTGTTATGAAGGGAGCAGATTTTTATTGAGCAAATAACTATATTATTTTATTATATTAATAATTATAACCATTAATAATCATTAATGAAATTAATTAGAATATTAATAACAAATAATTGTTAAATATTATTAGAATTATATTATAATTATTTATCACAAACTGCAAAAATAAATATATAAGTAATTATTTTATGATAATATTAACAACTATATTGATTGTGGAAATAACTATATTATTATAAAGATATAAATATTCATGAATAGTTTCCGAATTCTGGAGCAGTCAGGTAAGGAGAAAATGTAAATGTTTCAATTTTTGTTCACAAAAGTATACTTTACTAAATTACTGTAAACTCTAGATAGCTTAAAAGAAAAAATGTTTTTCCTGAAATCTGGGAAACAAAACACTTAAAGAATCCTCAAGATTTCATATAAAAAAATCTTAAAAATATTATTTTCATTGTTATCACTGAGTCCCATGAAATTAATTATTTTCTCTGCTTGCTCTTGGTTGGCAGTTTCATGAAGCTATCAGTTTGTTAAAATTTTGGAAATTCTTAAGTGGTCCAATGGTACGATTTTAATGCTATTAGAAAATTGTATTCAAGAGTACATGTCAGAATCTTTTCTGTAAATATCCTCGATGAAGAAGCAGTTTTGGATGGTGGCTGATTGCAGATGCTTTAAAGAAGAATCAAACCAATTGTCTGTGAATGACAAAGAGATTGAAAATGAGTATGGTTACAAACCTGGGTAGAGTTCATTATGACAAGAATGCAACTCACATAGATACTTAGCTACTTCTGTGGCATATGGTATTATGGTTGATAACCTGTTAGATTTCTGGGAATTTCATATAATTTTTGGAACACTGACATCAATAACATACCCATAAATGTAACTTAGAGAAGGTTCAGCATCACTTATCATTTGACAATGCTTCCATATAATTTAACATATCAAACAAGATCTTTTCCATTCAGTTTCTGTTTCTCAATTAGATTACTGAGTTCTTGGTGGAGCCCATTAATGAATAAGGCCAACAAAATACAGGACTACACATGTTGAAAAAGTTCTGGGCCGGGTGCCGTGGCTCATGCCTGTAATCCCAGCACTTTGGGAGGCCGAGATGGGTGGATCACGAGGTCAGGAGTTCAAGACCAGCCTGGTCAACATGGTGAAACCCCGTCTCTACTAAAAATACAAAACATGAGCTGGGCATGGTGGCGCATGCCTGTAATCTCAGCTACTCAGGAGGCTGAGGCAGGAGAATTGCCTGAACCCAGGAGGCGGAGGTTGCGGTGAGCCAAGATCGCCATTGCACTCCAGCCTGGGTAACAAGAGCGAAACTCTGTCTCATGGGGGAAAAAAAAAAAAAAAAGAAAAGAAAAGAAAAAGCTCCAGAGGCAATTCTAATACTCCTAGCTAAAAACCATGGGTTTATCCCCCAGTCCTTCCTATTAGAACAGGGGTTCTCCATCCTGACTATACAATAGTAGCATCTGGGGAGACTTAAAAATTAGCAATGCCTGGGTCCCCAGAATAGTAAATCAGAATTTATGGTTGAGGCTTGAGCTTGAGCATCAGTTTTTTAAAATGTTTCTGAGTGATTCCAATGTGTAGCTATATTTCCCATCAGATTTCTCTGATTTCTTGTGTCACTCACTGCTTCTAGTTGGGTACTATGATTATTTTTAGGTCTTATCTTCTGTTCTCTGCTTTATGCCTTCTTCATTTCTATATCTGTTACGCACATCATTTCTGTATCTGTTAGGCACACATGAATTGATTGTCAGTAAAGGGTTCTCAGCACATGGAGGATGTATCCTGAGTCCAAAGTTCACACGTTAACGCTACACAGTCTTTGTTCTCCATGAGATAAGAAGTTGCTTGTGATGAACGGTGTGGGGGAGTCCACAGTGCAGGTGGTCGAGGGGAGATCACCCTGTTTTTAGGTGTAACATTGAAACTAAGAATTCTATGTGCATCTGTTTTCACACTACTACTACAAAAAACAAACAAACAAAACAAAAAAGAATTCTATGTGCATAGTGGGCAAAGGGGCAGGATGTGTAGAGAGTCAGGTCTAAGATAAAGGAATTTTACTGGGAAGTAGAGGTAAAGGAAGTAGAGGATTAGTAAAGAGAAGAAATTTGAACTTATGTGACAGACCGCAGTAGCCCCTGTGGCTTCTAGAGTAGGCAAGTGAACTAGATTTCAGGAAGGTGATGAGGCAGTCATATGCAAGAAAGATTTCAGACACTGGCAATAAGGGGTCAAGCAGGACTTTGAGCAGTTGTTGAGGTTTATGGGAACGGAGAGAAGCACCCAAGTGAGAGATGTTACTAAAGGACCAAGAGGCATTGACAATGTATTGAATCTGGGAAACAAATGAGCAGAGGCTGGGGATCATTATGTCTAATAGACAGTGGGGTACAGGGAGCATGAAGAGTAGGGAAGAAGAGACCAGCAGGAATTCGTGTGAGAAGCAGGAGTTTAGGGGTAGAAGAAGGAGATCCAGGCCCAGATATAAGTGAAAAAGTTTTTCCCTCTCCCGGGCATGGTGGTCAGCCCTGCAGGAAATAGGACAAGAGGAAAGGCCACCATACCTGCCAGTCTTCCTGAAGTACCGAAAATACACCTGGGCTGCTATATCAGAACCACGCTGGCCAGCACTCCAATCAGGATGCTGACAGTGGTCCCAGCTGAGAGGCCAGGAGAACTACCTGGTACAGGAAAAAAAAAAAAATAGAGAAGGAATGAAGGTGATGTTATTTTACAGTGGGGTGCCCCAAGAACCAGCTCTCAACATGAAGTAGTATTGACTTGTTTCTTCAAGGAATATAGTAGTTTTCTGGGAAGATTGCATTTTTTTTCTCTCTTACTAGGTTTCTAGGTTGGTGATCAGTCTTCTGTTAATTTCATCCTGGTCTCTCTGCACTCAGATATTTCTGAAGGCTTTGAAATTTGAGAAAGACGAATTGCTATTTTTGCGTTTCATTAGAACTTTCTATCTTTTCATAGTTGCATCTTTTTCTGTATCTCAATTGTGGCAGCCATGAATAAGAGCCTGTTGGGTCTCTATGATGGAGACTTGATTGACAGAAGGCCCAGGCTAGTGCATTCTGAATTTACCATGTTCTTTGCACAGAGAACTCACTTCTCATGGGCTCCCACCAGGGGAATGAAAGCAAGCGCAGCTCTTTGAGACCCCACCTCACTCTCAGGGGTGAGGGGTTCAAGGACTCCCCATCGGTCTTGTGGAAACTCAGAATGGCACTGCTATCTAAAACTTCCCTCCTTCTCTTTCTTCTTCTCAGGAATCAGATCTGCATCATGGTCTGAGAGTTCTCTTAGGCTCCTCTCACTGCTACTCCACCTTCTTTCACGACCATTTTCCCCAGTGAATTATCTTGCACCTCTAATCCCATCGTGGCTGCATCTCAGTGTATGAAAGCTAACATACCAGGCTTGATTCTTTGCATTCTGTTTCCTCTCTCCCATGTTCAGCCAGTAACCATGTCCCGGTGGGTTTGCATTTGGTGCTTATTCCTCACCAGTCAATTTAGGCTGATGATTAACGTGATGTTAGATACTGTTGAGGGGCACTTCCTACATGCCACACCCTGTGCTGAATACTTTACCTGTATCTCACTTGATTTATACAAGAACCCTCTTGGGTAGACATAATTTCCATTTTACAGATGAAAAGACATAGGCTTAGAGTGTTGAGAAAACTTATCCAAAGTCATATGGTTAGTGACAGGTAGATTTGGGATTTGGCTCTAGAACTACTTGACTTCAAGGGTAATGGTAACAGTATTAATAATAATAGCTAATCTGTATGAAGCTTTTCTTTGTGTGTGGCATTTTGCTGAAGTCTTAATCAAATATTACATGAAATCTTGAAAACAGTGCTATGAAACAGGCGCTGTTATTTCAATTTTCATTTTTCCATCCATTTCCTAGTGATAAGAATTATTGCAATTTTCAGCTGAAGAGCTGAAGGCTCAGAGAAGTTAAAAATCTTTTTTTTTTTTTTTTTTTTTTTGAGACGGAGTTTCGCTCTTGTTACCCAGGCTGGAGTGCAATGGCGCGATCTCAGCTCACCGCAACCTCCGCCTCCTGGGTTCAGGCAATTCTCCTGCCTCAGCCTCCTGAGTAGCTGGGGTTACAGGCACGCGCCACCATGCCCAGCTAATTTTTTGTATTTTTTAGTAGAGATGGGGTTTCACCATGTTGACCAGGATGGTCTCGATCTCTTGACCTCGTGATCCACCCGCCTCGGCCTCCCAAAGTGCTGGGATTACAGGCTTGAGCCACTGCGCCCCGCCTTTAAAAATCTTGTGTAAGAAATTGATAGTGGGCCGGGCACGGTGGCTCAAGCCTGTAATCCCAGCACTTTGAGAGGCCGAGGCAGGTGGATCACGAGGTTAAGAAATCGAGACCAGCCGGGCGCGGTGGCTCAAGCCTGTAATCCCAGCACTTTGGGAGGCTGAGGCGGGTGGATCACGAGGTCGAGAGATCGAGACCATCCTGGTCAACATGGTGAAACCCCGTCTCTACTAAAGATACAAAAAATTAGCTGGGCATGGTGGCACGTGCCTGTAATCCCAGCTACTCAGGAGGCTGAGGCAGGAGAATTGCCTGAGCCCGGGAGGCGGAGGTTGCGGTGAGCCGAGATCGCGCCATTGCACTCCAGCCTGGGTAAGGAGAGCGAAACTCCGTCTCAAAAAAAAAAAAAAAAAAAGAAAAAAAAAAAAAAAAAAAGAAATCGAGACCATCCTGGTCAACATGGTGAAACCCCGTCTCTACTAAAAATACAAAAAATTAGCTGGGCATGGTGGCGCGTGCCTGTAATCCCAGCTACTCAGGAGGCTGAGGCAGGAGAATTGCCTGAACCCAGGAGGCAGAGGTTGCGGTGAGCCGAGATCGCGCCATTGCGCTGCTGCAGCCTGGGTAACAAGAGCGAAACTCCATCTCAAAAAAAAAAAAAAAAAAGAAAGAAAGAAATACATAGTGGTAAATACATTAAAATAAAGAGAGACCTCAAATCAACAACCTAACTTTACAGATTCAGGATACAGAAAAAGAACAAACTCAAACCAAAGACAGTGAATGAAGGAAACAATAATTGGAGTTGAAATAAATAAAATGGAAGCTAGAAAAACAATAAAGGGAATCAAGGAAACCAAAAGTTGGTTTTTCAAAACAGATAAGGAAACTGACGTTTACTAGATTGACTACGAGAAAAAAAGAGAAGATTCAAATTACTAAAATCATAAATGAAAATGGGGGCATGGTGGCTCACACCTTTAATTCCAGCACCCTGGTAGATCAAAGCAAGAGGATTGCTTGAGGTCAGAAGGTCAAGACCAGCCTATGCAACATAGGGAGATACAGTCTCTACAATTTTTTTTTAAAACTAGCTGGGCATGTTGGCACATGCCTATAGTTTGAGCTCCTCAGGAGGCTGAGGTAGGAGGATCATTTGAGTCTGGGGGTTGAGCCTGCAGGTAAGCTGTGATCAAACCACTGCACTCCAGCCTCGGTTGGGCTACAGAGTGAGACCTACTCTCAAAAAAAAAGAGAGAGAGAGAGAGGAAATGATAACATTGCTACCAATTCTACAGAAATAATAATGATTACAAGAGTGTGATGAATAATTGATTGGCTAAATATTGTTACTACTTATAGGCCTATTCAGATTTTTTGTGTGTTCCCAGGAATTTGTCCATTTCACCTAGGTTATCCAATTTGTTGCATACTCACAGAGACTCTGCATGGAAGGGCATGGGCATTGCCAAAAAGTGTAGCCCAACCCAGACTGGAGCGCAGAGCTTTGATCATAGCTTACCTGCAGTCTCAACCGCCTGGGCTCAAATGATCCTCCTGGCTCTGGCCAGGAGTTTTATGGGAACAGAGTTTCATTTTGGGAGGAAGAAAAGAGTTCTGTGGGTGGACAGTGGTGATGGTAGCCAGTGGTAATGTGTTTAATACCACGGACCTGCACACATGGAAAGGTTAAAATCGTAAGTCCTATTTAGATATAATAAAGTGGCTGGTAGTCTTACCCTCTCTATAAATACACACTTTTTGATACTGCCCGCTTCCTTCCATGCAGAGTCCCTGTGAGTGAATCTCCCGATTTCTCCAACTGTGCATCACGCACTGTCCTCTGTGTTGTGCCCGTGTGCTGTGCCCACAGCCTCATACAGCTGGTGACGTCAGAGCCAGGACAAGCTCAGGAGTCTGCCCTGAGCTCCGCGTCTTTCCATCTTCCTGCAGCCTAACCCCGGGGGAGGCTTTGGTGTTGATTTGCAGCTTGATTCTGCCTGATTCAGGACAGATCCCCTGGGCACCTTCTCCATATGCCCTGTCCCACCTTAGGTGGCTTCAGGGCAGGGTCAGTCACTGGGAGAGCTGGGAGCAGAGATGGGGGCAGAGTCTGAGCTGCTATTCCATCATCCAAGGGGCTTCCTCCTCTCTCTCTCTCTCTCTCTCTCTCTCTCTCTCTCTCTCTCTCTCTCTCATTTTTATTTATTTATTTTTTTGAGACGGAGTTTCGCTGTTGTTACCCAGGCTGCAGTGCAATGGCGCGATCTCGGCTCACCGCAACCTCCGCCTCCTGGGTTCAAACAATTTTCCTGCCTCAGCCTCCTGAGTAGCTGGGATTACAGGCACGCACCACCATGCCCAGCTAATTTTTTTGTATTTTTAGTAGAGACGGGGTTTCACCACGTTGACCAGAATGGTCTCGATCGGTTGACCTTGTGATCCACCCGCCTCGGCCTCCCAAAGTGCTGGGATTACAGGCTTGAGCCACCGCGCCCGGCCTTTTTTTTTTTTTTTTTTTTTTTTTTTTTTTTTTTGAGACAGTTTCGCTCCTGTTACCCAGGCTGGAGTGCAATGGCGCAATCTTGGCTCACCGCAACCTCCGCCTCCTGGGTTCAGGCAATTCTGCCTCAGCCTCCTGAGTAGCTGGGACCTCCTCTCTCTTAAGGAAAAAATGTGAGCTCATTTCAAAGCCTCTTGTCCCTTGTAGCTTATGAAGTAGGTAAAAGAACACAAAGAGGTGACAGAAGGGGAATTGTTTGTGACCGAGAGAAGCAACTTGCCCCTGAGGACCCTTCTTCCTTCTTCCTCTGTGAAGCCCCTTTTACTGCACAGCGCTCAGGGCTGAGGGAACCCTCTCCTTGAATTTCAGGACGGCCCAAAGTCAGACATGAGAAATAAAAAACAAAACAAAACAAAACAAAACAGGGGGAAGAGAGTCTGCAGAGGTGAACTGGGAGGGTTTTGGGGGAGAATTTGGGATTTGCTCGTGCCCCTTAAATACAGATTGGGAAGGAAAGAAACTTTCTTCCTGGCTCTTCCCTGAAAACCAGACTCCACCTAAAAACGTGATGCCAAAGCTCCACGGATCCACTTACCAGAGACTGTGATGATCCTGACTGTGGTGCGGTTGTGGCCAGTGGCCGAGTTATGGGCATGGCACATATAGGATCCGCTGTGACCCACAGCGATGTTGGGGATAAAGAGCACTTGTGTGGATTGCTGGAACGTCCCATTGATAAGCCAAGAGTACTGTGCAGGTGGGCTAGAGGCTGCGTGGCAGGAGAGGTTCAGATTTTCCCCCGGACGGTAATTGGAGTTTGAGGGGGAAATGGTGGGGACATCTGGGCCATCTGGAGGAAAGAGAATAAAGCCACAGGTGATGTCATCAGAGGGAAGCAGACATTCCTGGTCTGTGGAAGGGCCACAGTGTCCGCCTGAGTCATATCACAACCCTGAAGTCTCAACCAAATCCCCATTAGTCCCCTTAAGCCAAAGTCTGAGACATTTGCCTGTTGGTCCCATTAGAAAATGTGAACTCTGAGACTCCCGGGACAGGCGCAGCCCCTCCCCTCCTGTTATTGGTCAAGGCCTGGTCTGCTCAGGTTTGCCTGGGGCAGGAAGTCAGGGCCAGCCTGGGTGAGGATCTGAGTACTTGGATCTGAGAGGCCTGGGCTCTGGCCGTGTGGATTTGTGCTGGCAGCCTGGGTCACAGAGGAGCAGAAGGTACTTACAGCAGACATCCAGGGTGACTGCATCACTGCGGTTTGCACTCACTGGGTTCTGTATTTCACACTCATAGGTTCCTGCGTCATTCCTTGTGACGCTGAGTAGAGTGAGGGTCCTGTTGTCACTGGACAGCTGCAGCCTGGGACTCACCGGGAGGCTCTGATTGTTCACCCACCACAGGTAGGTTGTGTTCTGAATCTCAGGTGCACAGATTAAGGCCACAGCATCCTCATCCTCCACGGGGTTGGAGTTGTTGCTGGTGATGGAGGGCTTGGGCAGCTCCGCTGTGCAGAAAACAGAGAGGAGATTCTCCTGTGTGGCACCTGTGATTCCTCCACGGGCATCTTTCAGTCAGAGTTGGCATCTCCCACCTCTCAGCCCACTTGAGTCCTTAAAAACCTATGGCAGGTGTATGTGTCACAAGACAGATGCGCGAGGATCTGAGGCTCAGATTGTGTAAGACCACCTGCCCTTTGTGGGAGAAGCACAGACTTTCTCAAGTGTGAACTGAGCAGCAGCATTGGGTCATGGACAGACACAGGACCCGGGGTCACAGCCCCTGGTGCTTCTCCTGGTTACTCCCTGACCAGCAGACTGCCTGGCTTCCCTTGGGGTCCTCACCTGAAACATTTAGGTGCTGGGTCTTTTCAAGCTTCAGTCCTACTTTGCACCCCCCCATCCGTGTTTTTTGTGTGGCTTCCTTTTCCAAGAACATTCTCGTGATGGGTGATGATGGGACTTCTTATTGTCTTTAAATCCCGAGGAAACAAATGTGCAGCCTGGCCTGGGACTGGATGTTTCAGCAGAAATAGCACAGGGGACACCAGGGGCCAGCCTGGAGGTCAGTTCAGTCATCAGTCAGTGGACCACAGGTTTTTCCCAGTTGTTTAATAATGACTGACTTGAGCCAGTGACCCCTAAAGATAGAGCAGAATTTAGAGAATGAACTACAAGAGAGTGAGGGGGACACACAGGAGCTGCCTGAATTTAACAGCAGAACAGTGCTCCTTGTCTTTAGCCTTTCATGTTTCTTCTTCTGCAGAGGGCAGGTGAGGACGCTGTGGATCTTTCTAGAAATACATGTGGACGTTTGCAAATGCAGAACTGAGTGGTGGAAAGAGGGAGCATGAGCTGCTGGAAATCTGACCCTCAAGGATCCTGTGTGTTTGACAGGTATGAGACAGAAATCTGGGAAGAAGTTTTGCAAATATTTTCTTCCATTGGACATTATGCCAAATGAAATAAATCACTCACAGGACAGATACCATAGAATTCCACTTATATGTGGTCCCTAGAGTTGTCACACTCATGGAATCAGAGTAGAATGGTGGTGGCCAGAGGTTGGGAGAGGCAGAATGGGGAGATGGTCACTAGCTGTGCACTTTCAGTTACGTGGGATGTGGAGGTTCTAGAGATCTGCTGTTCAGCTTGGTGTTATACTTCATACAGATTGAGTATCACTTATGCATAAGGCTTGGTGAGGGAAGAGACTCCTTTTTCCTGTCTCTTGTCTCAATGGAGGAGGAAGTAAAAGTTGAGACATAGCAGGCATGAGGTCAGTAGTGAAGTCTGGAGGTTAAAGATTAACCCCCCCACACCACCCTTAATCACACTCCTGTCTATAGATTGCAGATGTTATATGGAGAAACACCACCATCCTTGGGGAGGCCAAGGCAGGTGGATCATGAGGTCAAGAGATCGAGACCATCCTGGCCAACATGGTGAAACCCCATCTCTACTAAAAATATGAAAATTAGCTGGGTGTGGTGGAGCGTGCCTGTAGTCCCAGCTACTTGGGAGGCTGAGGCTGGAGAATCGCTTGAATCCAGGAGGGGAGATTGCAGTGAACCAAGATCACGCCACTGCACTCCAGTCCGGGAGACAGAGCTAGACTCTGTCTCAGAAAAAAAAAACAAAAAACAACAAACATATTTAGACCTTAGACCTCATGTTATGTTCTGAATATAGTAAAAAATAAAATAAATTTGAGGGAAACACATTTTTTTCCATAAGTGGAGATTGTTATTAATGACCTAAAGATTGAAGATCAATTGCTGGAAGTAGTAGTATTTTTCTTGATAACATACTAAGGTTTAGGTGTGCTGTGAATTCCAGCAGGATCACATTGTCCTCAAATGAAGATGCTGAGGTTGGTTTGAAATTAGCAACTCCCTGAGTAGGGAGAAGCCTCCTCCTTTTAGGGTAGGAGAACCAACCAGAGAGGAAGTCTTCGGTGTGTCAGTTGCATAAATAGAAGAATGATGCCAAATTAGCAGAAGCAGTCTGTGTTATGATAGCAAATTTAGAAAGGACTTCCTGCCCCTAATTCCAGTGCAGAGTTAGGCAAATAGGGGAGGAGCCCAAAACAGGCATGTGAAATGCTTTCTTCCTCTCCTCTCAACCTCAGAAAACACAACTAGAGTTTAAGCTCATCTGACCTGGGTGGAGTCTGTGTGAGATTCCAGTGACTGGTGCACTTCTCAGTCTAGTGAACCCCACCTTATGGCAATGGCATCATGGTGAGGATGCAGGTGTATGTGGCATGGGCAGGAAACCCATCAGACAGCACCTGCCTGGCCAGCTGCAGCTGGGGAAGGTCCCAGGAATGACTGGAGGACGTGAGACTCACACCAAGATGAGGACGGGAGTCAAATGGGTGAAATGAGCACGTGGGCTTTGGGGACTGCAGACCTGTCCTGCCTCTGACCCCCTGGTGAGTCAGTGTAGAGAGTGGATGGAGGAGTCGCTGGTCCCTGTCCCATGGCCTGTTCTACATGTCAGCCTCCCTGGGGGAAAGAGCCCTGGGCAGGGACACAATGGAAGCTCGTTCTCCTGGTGATCTGGGAACATTGGCTTATGACGGAGCCTGGCAGGGGCAGCTACTAAGGCTGATTTCTGTGCCTTCCCTATTGCCTGGGAGGTGGATCAGGACACAGTGTGAGTGGGAAGGGGACAGGACAGCCAGCCTGGTTAGAGGGATTTTCTGGGGAAGGCCTAAGGGTGGGAGGAAGCTGTGCTGGGCAGGGCATCCCAGCTAGAATGAAGGGGGAGGAAGATGAGGGACACGGAGGAGCAGAAAGAGCCAGAGATATTTGCGGCAGTAAGCAGTGGGAGCTACAGTGACCTCAGAGATCCCATGGACCAGGAGCCCCTTCACTGCCTTAGACCAGGAGCAGGGAGACCTGAAAACCCTCCAATGACCAAGGAACCCCAGAGTCACATGAGATGACGTAGCTTTAGGGACAGGGGTTCAGAGGGATGGAACATGGATCTCAGCCCCTGAGGGACAAGAAACAAGTGTGGCTGGCCAGGCTCAGTGGCTCATGCCTGTAATCCAAGTACTTTGGGAGGTCGAGGTGGGAGCATCACCTGAGGTCAGGAGTTCGAGGCCAGCTAGGCCAACATGGAGAAACCCCATCTCTACTAAAATACAAAAATTAGCCGGGCATGGGGGCATGCACCTGTAATTCCAGCTACTCAGAGGCTGAGGCAGGCGAATCACTTGAGCTGGAAGGTGGAGGTTGCAGGGAGCTGAGATCGCGCCACTGCACTCCAGCCTGGGCAACAGAGTGTGACTCTGTCTCCAAAAACAAAAACAAAACAACAAAACAAACAAACAAACAAACAAACAAAAAACAGGTGCGGCCAGAACTTCCTAGGATTCTTCATCCAGGAACTGGTCTCTAAGAGGTTATGGATCCTTCATTCATTCCTTCCTCCTTTCTTTTTGTTTTTTTTTTTTTTGAGACAGAGTTTCACTCTTGTTACCCAGGCTGGAGTGCAATGGCGCGATCTCGGCTCACCACAACCTCCGCTTCCTGAGTTCAGGCAATTCTCCTGCCTCAGCCTCCTGAGTAGCTGGGATTAGAGGCACGCGCCACCATGCCCAGCTAATGTTTTGTATTTTTTTTAGTAGAGACGGGGTTTCACCATGTTGACCAGGATGGTCTCGATCTCTTGACCTCGTGATCCACCCGCCTCGGCCTCCCAAAGTGCTGGGATTACAGGCTTGAGCCACCGCGCCCGGCCTCCTTCCTCCTTTCTTTATTTTTTTTTTTTTAATTTTATTTTTTCTTTTTAAAGTCGGGGTTTCACCATGTTGGTCAGGCTGGTCTTCAACTCCAAACCTCAGATAATCCGCCCGCCTTGGCCTCCAAAGTGCTTGGATTACAGGTGTGAGCCACCGCACCCAGCCTCCTTCCTCCTTTCTTCCCTTCCTCATGAGAGAAGTCCTGAGTGAGCCTGTGTCTCCTTTTGGGCCTCTAGTGGTGCAGGGTGTGAATAGGGAGAGAAGGCAAAGTCCTCTCCTTTTTCCTTCCTGATGTGTCACGGGAGTGACACTGACACATCAGGAACAGGATTTCCGGTGCGGTGACGGGGTTGTGGATCAAGGGGAGAGGCCTGGACAATCCCGGCATTGACCTTGTCAGTTAGGGTGATATAGTTCTAGAGTAAAACTGACTAATTCTCTATTTACTTCTCACTCTCCAGACCAGAATCTCCCTCTCCGAGCTGTGGATGCCCAAGACGAAAGGAAGCAAACCCACGACAGGTATCTGTCTGCAGATGCCTCATAACAAACAGCCCCCGTCACCCCTGGTGGAGGAGAGGAGGGGGCTCTGGCTGCAGACGGGCCTCACATGTCTCTAATCTACCACCTATGGCCTGTGGACCCTTGTTAGTGACTGTCTCCCTGCCCCTCAATTTCCTTTCAATAAGTAGGATAAGTGCTGTTTGGCTATGAGGTTGTTTGTGAATCAACCTCAAAATATTTATAATTACTTGATCTCAGCTCTGCACAGAGGAGCTGTCCAAGTGAAGAGCATCTATGATTCTTTGCCTTCAAGAGAGAGGGCCCTGGGCCTGATCCCTGGTGGACAAGGAGCAGCCAGGAGCATCCTCTCTTCTCTGTTCCTCCTCCTGGGGACTCTGAACTTCCCATGGAGTCACCTGTGTCCCCCAGGGCAGTGGGCTCATGCCCTAGTAATTTTTTCCACTTGTCCTTTCCACGTTGAGCCTCAAGTGGAGGAAGAGGTCCTGTCCTTGACTGGATGAGGCCCTGGGTGCTGGGCCCCGGCTGGTGGCCAACTCCAGGAGTCATGGCCCTTGGATAGTCACATCCTTGCTCCCAGTTAGCCCTGCCCAGGAGGCCACCACACAGCCCTGGCACAGACTCCCCAGGATCACCTGGAATCAGGAACCACGGACAAGGCTTTGCACAGGGGCTCAGCTCTAGGAAGAGTAGAACTTCTCTGTGAGGATCCCAGGGGGCCCCTCAGGCAGCCCTGACCCAGTTCTCAAGGGTCTTCTCAGGGTCAGGTCCAGGGGGTGCTTGGCTGAGACGGACCTCCCCCTGCTCAGTCCCCCTATCAGACTGTCCTTCCTCTGCTGTGAGTGTCTGCAGGGTCTGGATGCAGGAAGGGGATTCTGATCTGTGGAAGTTTGTCTCCCCTGTGTGTGTCCTGCACTAAATGCCCAAACCCCAACACAGGATGTAATGCAGAGGGGGACACAGGGGGACACAGGCGCAGCCCAGCCCTGAGAATCCTGTGTGTGGGAAGCAGAACTGACCGCAACACCCAGAGGTCACGGGGAAATACTCACGGTATACACGGAACTGGCCTGTTGCTTCTGTATTCACAAGATTTGCTGTTATGACTTGTAGCGTGTAGAATCCTGTGTCACTCAGGGTGACGTTCTGGATCAGCAGGGAGGCATTGGGGTATACTGTCTCTCGGCCGCTGTATGCGGGCCCTCGGGTAGTTAGTTGAGTTGCCATTACATATCCTGTAATTTGACGGGTGCTGTCCACGCTTCCCCCTTTGTGCCAGTTGAAGCCAGTAGTATCCTGGGGCAGATTGCGGGTGAGTAGAAGAACCTCCTTCCCCTCTGCAGCATTGGATGGCACGGCTTCAATAGTGATTTGGGCACTGGTGGGCGGGTTCCAGAAGGTTAGAAGTGAGGCTGGGAGACAGGAGAGAGCATCAGTCAATATTAGGACCTGTGCATTGTGATGGAAAGATGGAGCCCTGGGTCCTGAGCAGGTCTCTTCACCCCTCCACCTTAGGGTGTCTGTGTGTGTGTGTGTGTCTGTGTGTCTGTGTATTCCCTACTGGGTCAAAGTCAGCAGTGTGACCCCCATTCCTTCAGCACCTCTGGCCTTGGCATTTCCCTGTGTGGAATTCTCTTCCCCAGGGGTCTGCACGGCGTTCTCCCCACCGCCCTCAGATCCTGCTCACATCAGGGAATTCTTGGGAGACCCCTCCCCTGACACCTCCTCTAGAGACCCTGGGTCTTCCCTTTCTGACCTTTCCCTGCTCTGTTCCCTCCAGGGCTCTTGTCAACACTGGACCTCACATTCTAGATCTCTTTGTGTGTGTGTTTTCCTCTTCACGACAGCATGAGCTCCCTGAGGGCAGAGACTGGTCTGGTGCTTGTTGTATGTCACTGACTAAAACTGTAAATGCTGGTGGATGAGTTAATGAGTGTACCTGGTGGTTATTTTTCAACTTTGGATTGGTGGGTAAGGGCATCGTTTAGTGCCCTGGTTCTATTTTTATTTGGAGTGTCACCCTGATGCAGTTCTTATTCCTATCATTTTTCAGATTGTAGTGACCAATGATGATTAACTTGAAAAACATTTTGAATTGATTTTCCTCTTTTTTTTTCAATCCCAGTTCAATGTGACTTTCCTGTTGTGACCCCTGTGCCTTTCTGGTGTTCTGTCTCCTCAGCCTTCAACAGAAGCCCTCTGTCCCCTCCCAGAGCCCTGTCCTCCCCAGGAGACCCCAGCCAGTCTCTGTGCTCCCTCCTCCCACACACTCACAGGGAGTCCTCCCCTCACCTGTGAGCAGGAGTTCCTTCCAGGGGACATGCACTCTGCAGGGAGAGGCTGAGAGGGGCCCCATGGTCTCTGCTGTCTTCTCGGTCCTCCTCTGTGCAGGGGAGCTTGGGCTCCAGGAACACTGTTATCAGGGCTGCTGTGACTGTCAGCTCTGCTGTCCTTCCTTCCTCTGTGCTGAGCCTCCTCCCCGGGCGGGAGCACTTTCCAGGGTCACATGGGTCATGGGTGCGGTCTCTGCTCAGGAGTCCTCTGTCCCCTCCCTTCTCATTTCTGCCTCTTTTGTCCCTCCTCCTCTTCCCCTTCTGTCTGTATTCAGCTCACCAAAAGAGGCTCTGAGAAGCAAGGCTTGTTTGGACCCCTGTCCCATAACAGGACCACCCCCCCTCCCCAGTGCTGACCTCTGCTGTGTCTGGTCTTGGGTCTGTCAGCACCAGGGAGAGTCCCTGTTATCCTCAAACCTGGTGTCATTTTCTCTGTGACAGAGAAACCCCTCTATGTGTCCAGGATGTTCCCGGTGTTTTCACAAAGGTTGGATTTCCTCCCAGAAAGGAGGTCACAGAGATGTTTGGGGTCCTAGAAATGGACACATCTAGGGACAGGGCCCAGGTCTAAGAGTCTTACTTGTTCTTTCTGCAGTGCTATGTGACCCTAATTTCCTGGGAGTGGCTGAGAATGAAGCTGCATGGTGCTGTGTGCTGTGGTACTATGTCACCCAGACCTCAGACCAACATTATGATTCTCTCTATAGCTTGTACCACCTTTATACTTTTTTAAATAATTAAATTTAGTTTACAAAACATCCTTGTCTTAGCAGGGCTCAGTGGCTCACATCTGTGATTCCAGCTTCTCAAGAGGCTGAGGAGAGGATTGCTAGAGGCCAGGAGTTGAAGACAAAATATTTTCATCTTAGACAATATTGTTCATGAAATTACAGATTTGATGTGCGCTTATGTTTTTTCCTATCACGCATTAAAATAAACACAAAGTCAAACAAAATTTATTTACGTTTCACCGAAAATCAGTTTTGGGAAACGCTGATATAGTGATATAAGCATGGACTTTATATTCAGATAGATCTGGGGTCAGCTACTGGCTCTGTCACTTAACTGTGTTGACTTAGACAAGTCACTTGGCTTCTCTGAGCGTTGAATCCCTGATTTGTAAAATGAGAACAGTAAAATCCACTTTGCAGACTTGTTAGGAATGAATGAACTGCTGTGGGAGCCCAGTGCAGGTGGGTGCTGAGTATATGATGGTTATCATCATGGTTATTGCTATAGAATTCTGGTTATTTTCCAGAAAGAGTGTCTATGCTGGAATATTGGGCTTGTGGCTTTCTGCTAACATGCATGTATGAAGAAAGTACTTTTACTTCTGCCGAGCGCGGTGGCTCACGCCTGTAATCCCAACACTTTGGGAGGCTGATGCGAGGGGATCACACGCTCAGGAGATCGAGTCATCCTGGCCAACATGGTGAAACCCCGTCTCTACTAAAAATACAAAAATTAGCAGGGCGTAGTGGTGGGCACCTGTAAGCCCAGCTACTCGGGAGGCTGAGGTAGGAGAATCGCTTGAACCCAGGAGGCAGAGGCTGCAGTGAGTGGAGATCATGTCACTGCACTCTAGCCTGGCGACAGAATGAGACTCCGTTTCAAAAAAAGAAAAAAAAAAATGTTGGGGCCGGGTGCAGTGGCTCAAGCCTATAATCCCAGCACTTTGGGAGGCCAAGGCGGGTGGATCACAAGGTTGACAGATTGAGACCATCCTGGTCAACAAGGTGAAACCCCGTCTCTACTAAAAATACAAAAAAATTAGCTGGGCATGGTGGTGCGTGCCTGTAATCCCAGCTACTCAGAAGGCTGAGGCAAGAGAATTGCCTGAACCCAGCAGGTGGAGGTTGCGGTGAGCCGAGATCGCGCCATTGCATTCCAGCCTGGGTAACAAGAGTGAAACTCTGTCTCAAAAAAAAAAAAAAAAAAAAAAAAAAAAAAAAAAAAAATGTTAATTTCGTTTGTTAGGATTTGTGGTGCATCTGTCGTTGTTTTCGTTTCCCAGTTTCACTACCTATTTTCTCTGTGATGTTGGTCAAGTTGCCTATGTTTTCTCTTGCCTCATTTACCTAATTTGTGAAATATGAGTAGCAATACACTGGTGTGCGTGTGTGTTATTTCTCAGCTCTGGCCACTAGAGAGCATAGAAGCATTGGCACCAACTGGCAATGGCATATGGTCTGCAAACACCATTTTCCCATGAAAGGAACCAGGGCTCCCTGGAGAAACAGCTGATCCAGAGCTCGGTCAAGAAAGCCCAAGAGGAGCCTGGAGCATCTTATGGGGCTAGAAGTAAGGATCTGCTTGAAAAATGACGGAGTTGTGTCAAAAGGCACAGAAACCAACTAGAAGGAGCTCGCAATGGCAGATTTTTGGACAATATCAGCGACATAATAAATAATGCTAGCCACCGGGGGCGTTGGTTTGTGCTTTGGCACTTTGGCGGCCCGAGGTGGGAGGGTCACTTGAGATCAGGAATTGGAGACCAGCCTGGCCAACATGGCGAAACCACGTCTCTACTAAAAACAAAAATTAGCTGGGCTTGTTGGTGGGGACCAGCCGTCCCAGCTACTCGGGAGGCTGAGGCGGGAGAATCGCTTGAACCCAGGAGGCGGAGGTTGCAGTGAGCCAAGATCACATCACTGCACTCTAGCTTAGGTGACAGAGCAAGACTTCATCTCAAAAAAAAGGTGGGGGGGCATACAAAATGTGATTAGATTTTATTCTGAGAATTATTTTGGGAATGGAGGAGCTATTATTTCCTCCAGCCACTAAGTAGCTCAGACCGAGGCCCACATTGCAAACTTTGGCGGGGAAACAAGGTTCGAGCCCAGCACCACCCACCCGACGTGGTTTCTGGTGGCGCCCCCTGGCGGCACAGCGAGCTCTCCTCAGTTCCTCACTCTGGTGCTTCAGGAGCAACTTTAGAAATTCCACTCAGTCCATTTATTAAACCCTTTCTAGGTCACACTGCAGACCATCTAATCTTCACAACAAGTGTGTGTGAGAAGTGGTATTTATTCATCTTAAGATGATATAACAGCCTAAAAAAAGTGAAACAGGGGCCGGGCACGGTGTCTCAAGCCTGTAATCTCAGCACTTTGGGAGGCTGAGGCGGGTGGATCACGAGCTCGAGAGATCGAGACCATCCTGGTCAACATGGTGAAACCCTGTCTCTACTAAAAATACAAAAAATTAGCTCGGCATGGTGGTGTGTGCCTGTAATCCCAGCTACTCAGGAGGCTGAGGCAGGAGAATTGCCTGAACCCAGGAGGCGGAGGTTGCGGTGAGCCGAGATCGCGCCACTGCACTCCAGCCTGGGTAACAAGAGTGAAACTCCATCTCAAAAAAAAAAAAAAAGTGAAACAACTTGTCCAGGGTTACAAAGTGAGTGGCAGAGCCAGGATTTGATCTAGGCCCCCCTGATGTCCAGGCTGAGGGTAAATGCCCAGGTGAGTCTAAATGTGTGGCCAGGTGGAGAACTACTGGTGTAGCGCAGTGGTTGTCGCCTGGAGGTGGTTTCCCCCAAGGAGACATTTGGCAATGTCTAGAAATATTTTTTGCTTTTATGAAGGAAGATGGTGCATGGGAGAGAGGCTGCTCTTGGCATCAAGTGGACAGAGGCCACGCGGACGCTGCTGAACGTCTCACAGTGCATAGAACAGCCCCCACCACAAGGAACTGTTCAGCCCAAATGCCAGTAGAGCTGCTATGAAGCCCTGGTCTGACTTAGAAACCTGAGGATTCGTCTTGCACTTAGCTAATGTTTGCTGAGTGCTGAACTGGACAGCATGAGGGATATGGAAACAGGGCACCAGTCTGTGCCACCAAGGAGGCTGCAGCCTAGAAGGGCAGGGCGTGGAGGCAGGAGAGGCACATGAAGGCCTTCGGGATAAGGCAGCAGATGATCAGTGCAAGAAGAGAGCATCTGGTAGGGCTGAGCGGGCTCTCGAGAGAAAGAGCACTTGTCTGGGTGTGGGGGGAGCTGAGCGCTTGTCTGGTCTGTGGGAATGTGGTTTTGAGCTTGGCATGTAAGTAAAGTTGAACTGGTGGGGAAACACAAGCCCTGGTCAGGAAAGGGCAAAGAGTCTAGTTTGGGTGGAGAGGGAGTAATTTTTAGTGAGTGGAGGGGTTGCACTGGAAAAGGAGGTTGGGGCTAGAGCTTTGAGTCCAGGCTGAGGACTCTAGCCTGGGTGTCTGTCACAGTGATGGAAAAACCTTCCCTTCCTGAATGGTGGTTTAGGTGCTAGGGCTGTGGGGCTCAGCAGCTTTCAGAGGGCTCTTTCTACAAAGTAGAGAACATTGGAAACTGCGGTGGAGAAGGGTGAACATCTCCTGATTTTAGGACCAAGTTGATGCTGAGTATGTAACAAAACTGCTTCACCGCGAGTGGCCCTTGGGGAGACGGTGCTCCCAGGTGGAAATATACATGGGGATGAACTCTTTTCAGCATGATTTCTTTGCAAAGGGCTTTGCATTTTGGTTGTAGTGAAAACTGGAGCAGATTAGAAAGCCTTAACCAAAGGTCTGCTACCTAAATGGTGCACTGTTGCAGCAGGGCTTGGTGAGGCTAAAGCTTCAAATATGGACACTACCTGGAGAAAGAAGCTTCTTAAGTTTATCAGCTACCATTAAATAGCATTAAAATACATGCATGTATTGTTCTCAATAGCAAAGACTTGGAATTAACTCACATGCCCATCAATGAGAGACTGGGTGAAGAAAATGTGGCACATATACACCATGGAATACTATGCAGCCATAAGAAAGGATGAGTTCACGTCCTTTGCAGGGACATGGATGAAGCTGGAAACCATCATTCTCAATAAACTAACACAAGAACAGAAAACCAAACACTACATGTTCTCACTCATAAGTGGGAGTTGAACAATGAAAACACATGGACATAGGAAGGGGAACATCACACATCAGGACCTTTTGTGAGGAGTGGGGCTAGAAGAGTGATAGCATTAGGAGAAATACCTAACGTAGATGAAAGGTTGGTGGGTGCAGCAAACCGCCATGGCACGTGTATGTCTATGTCACGAACCTGCACTTTTTGCACATGTATCTCAGAACTTTAATAATAAAAAAGTACATGCTTGGTGCACGCTGAAGAATATAAAGAATTCAAGCAAAGTTTGAGATCTGCCTGAGCAATGTAGTAAGACGTTGACCAAAAAAAAAAAAAAAAAAAAAGAGGCCGGGCGCGGTGGCTCAAGCCTGTAATC